GAGCCAATCCTGTGGAGCTGTTGACCTCTGTTGACCTCCCTTGAGCTCAGAGACAATTACTTACAGCACCGCTACATAAAGCGCTCAACAGACAATCAGGAAGGACCGTTTTCATTGTTAAACTCCTTCGTTTAGCTTCCACAGTTTAAAGTATAAACCCAAGATGCAAAAGGCTAACATCCCTAAAGTACAAAACAAAACAAAAACAAAACCCTGTCCCTAATCTTGAGAAGTAATGACACATCAAATGTGCTCTCATTGGATAAATCACTCACTGACGCTCTTTTATAAAGCGGTGATCCCTGGTATGACATTCCTCAAACAAACTTAGCTGATAATAAGATCAAAATATCCCTCTTATCTGTCTCTCTGAAATGCATGTTCACAACGTGGTTTAAACGCCACAACACCATCAATTTGTCTAACGGCATCAAAAGGGCACCTACAGAGTAGTTTTAAGGCTTTGTCCTCTGCCCGTTCCAGCCTATCATGAGGCTGCAGTCTTCTGTTCTCAATCCATTGAGACAGAATTTACCATCATCAGCTAGAAATGATGACAAAAGCTAGCAATGAGTCGTAATTCATCTAAAGAAGGGCAAACCAGGTCAGCAAACCACCTGTGAGTGTCAGCTTGTGTCTAAAAAATACGCATGAAGAGGTTTAAACGGGTAGATGTCCTTCAGGATTTGATGTAAATTACTTTAAATTTGTTCATCATGGACAGACTTCAGACTAGTTGCAAGTTTAGTTACAATTTTTTATCATTGTTCCAGTTTTGCTTCCTCTCACCTCCCTACTCTAAACACTCCTTTTTTTCTTAATTACAATAGTAAATTCTTATGTTGAACCCTCTTCTTTTGTTTTATCTGTAGACAGTGAGATAATTATACCAAATAAGTTTCAGTTTGATAGCATGAAAACAATAATGTGATGTGTGTAGCAGCAGCAGCCTAGTAAGCTGAGCAAAGCATTTTTTATCTCTGAATAAGAGGATGACTCCCGCTGCTTCGGGCTGTAACTCAGAGGTGCACAGAGCCATCTGTCTCTCTCTCTTTCTGTCTTTGTGTGTCTGTTGCGCTTGTGCAAATGAGACAAGCTATTGCAGCCAGAGCAGGAGTTCAACTATAATAGCATCCGAGGCGCACAGAGGCCTGAATAAACGGCGTCGAGACCAGAACCGGCTCGTAAAAAGAAAATCAATAAATGTCATAGATCCGTCAACTTCTATCAAGTGTGTCAGTAAATACCACATTTTGAATGGAAGGTTAACTTTATGAAAGAACGCGGGGGTCACTTCACTTGGATGACGAGTGATTCTGGGCCAGCATAAGCAGGATACGCTCGGAGGGGCCCCGGTCGTTTACTTTGCAGTGTTGCTTCAACTGCAGATAGGCACGGAGTTCAAGTCGTGGCTGTTCTTAGTGGAGCCATGCAGAGGATCCAGCAGTTCTCGGACTAGGGTCTGCCTCCCCAGGACATGCCGGATGTGTAGCAGGGACCTCGATTCTGGAGGGAAACAGATGGCTGAAGATGAATGTTGCACTTCTCCCCGTATAACTACATCCATCTTTGTGTACACCACTGCATCTGTGAGATGTCTGTCGTTTTGCTCAGATCAGCTGTAGCACTAAAACCCATGTCCTCTGGAAAGATCAGTGTGACACATTACAAAACTGTGGAAAGCTATCACTCCCGAAGCCTATAAAACGCACTGCGTTACCGCTGCCTTGTACGGAGGTCTCTCCCCACACGCACACAGAAAGAAACTCACACACCTTCCCTGCTCTCATGCCACTTCCGCCATAAAATGCCTGGCAGTGTTCCACGTGCCCATTAGCAGGCGCTAAATAACTGTTAACAATGTATTACCCAGACTCCCCTGTTCAGGCACTTCTACCCTTCCACGGGTCCCTTCAAAGCTCACAGGTAATTATGTCAAAGGTTTTTAATAAACAGCTGAGGCTACTTGGTGCAGCGGGTTACGCCCACCTCCAAAGCGGCAAAATCTGTCCTTTAGATAAAGTTACAAATGCGCAGGGCTCTGATTGGCTGAAGTCTTCTCAAAGTCGTTAAAAGCCATCAGGTAACCCCGCACCTGCATGTGACCGGGTAATTAAGGATAATGCTTTGAACTTGACTAAAGGATATAGTCAATCACAAGTGGACTGAATATTAAGTCCATTAAACCGAAATGCTGTTAAGTATAGTATTTTTGTTTATTTCCCAAATTAATTACCTTCGTCCAATATCTCACAAACTGGAGACTAAAGGGAAGGATAATAAATCAAAGCAACAGCTTGAGCCTATTATAGCGGCACCGACAGCGTTTCACGTATGGAGGCGAAGCCTGCCGCTATAACCTGTGATTTATATTAAATATATATATATTATATATATATATATATATTTTTTTTTAAAGCCTACATTAGAAAATGGCCACACGTTAATATGTGCTGATGCTTAAAGCTTACACCCTGTTTAAAAAATGTTTTTATTTTATTAATTTTATTTTATTTCATTTTGAACAGTTTATCCTATCAGCCTCGGGAAATGAAAAACTGAAACACTTAACAAAACTAGCAGGGCAACCTGCCAAACTTAGTTAAAACAGCGTAAATAATACATTGTTTATTTATTTAATCTTGTAGCCTGACTTATATGCAAAACGCAGTAATGTTAAATGAAGTGTGGAGCTGCCGGATAGAAAGGGGAAAATAAAAATGAATAAATACATAAAAAAATGTTTTTAAAAAAACCGTCGAATAAAAACAAAAAGGTCACTAAAATGTGCAGAAAAATTTCTGTGGGAAGATATTATTATGAAGAATATCACACAAGCATCAGATAATATAAAAAAATAATTTCATAAATAAATATCGCATGACTTACCAATGTTTTTGTATTACAGTGTAAATACACTGTTGCGACGAAACACAGTATGATAACAAAGTTACGATAATGTGATAATAATAGTTACAATGCTCTGGAAGCAACGACATCAGTTTCACGAAACAGCTGTTTCAAAAATCAACAATACCAATCGAAATATTCTTCTTATTCTTATTCTTATTATTGTTGTTATTGTTATTATTATTAAATAGTATGTATTTCATGAAAACGATGGGAAAATAATGTGCACTATGTTAACGATCAGCCAGCCAATTATAATGTTAGTTTCTTCTAAAAAAAACAAAACATTTAACTTACAAATAAAATCTAAAATACATAAATAAGGCAGTCTTTATGAAAAAAAATCCAATTCATACAGAACCTTTGTTCACGAGTGAAGATTTTCAAAACAAACTTAAACCGGTTTAAATTACTACTTAAACAATGTTGAGATTACGATTGTGAACACATTCCTGTTAAACTGGAAAAAAGAGGGAAATCCGTTTGGTGCTGTTACTAAATTCTGCCCCTTTTTTCTTCTTTTTTTTCCTGTCTTTTTTTTTGTTTTTGTTTTAAGTACATCTGTTTACATGCGTTTTTATTGGTTCCGAGGCTGGTAAGGGAGCAAAAATATTCGCTTTAAAGTTTTTTTTGACAGTGTCAGGTTAAGTCGGGAGGCCTGGCATCGACTACAATCTAAATTTGTTTTAAACAAATGTTAGCCTCTGTAAATGTGACGGAATTATAAATAACCTACCACATTTAAATAAAAAAAAACGCCAAGAGGAAGAGAAAGAGGCAGATTTTGATCTGATATAGCAAAAGTATATAGACAAGGAATTTCTCCTAATGTCCAGATATTTACATTAAATTTGCGCCAACAAACGGCGGATACGTGACCAACAAGCCAGCAGAGGCCCGATGTTCACGCTGATTATGGCGAAGGAGCCGAGGAGGTAAGCTGGAGGCTTAAATACTGTTGTGAATAATGGCATTTTGTACTTTCTAACTCCGACAACAGCTCAATAAATACACCAACAAATGAACAGGTTCATTAGGCCTTTAGTTTGGAACATTTTATGCAAACGGCAGCACGCGCGGTGCATATTACTCTTGGAATAAATGGCGTGTTTAGGTCTTAAAAAGAACATCAAGAACTAAAGAAACCTGTACACACACACACACACACACACACACACACACACACACACACACGTAGGCTCAGTGCTTTGTTTATTTATAGCCAGCTTCTCCCCTCCATATCTCACCGCCACACCAACGCGCATTCCCGGCGTGACCGCGCTCGTTAACACGGCCTTGAAAATGCGCACGATTATTTCCACGCGTGCAGTAAGAGCGAGTCAAACTCATCCATGTATTTTATTCAGCTGGTTGCATTCACTCATTTCCCCCTGTATTTCAAACATGTTCCCAAATATTTCATTTAGCTACTGTTAGACTCGGGTTCAGTTTGAGACGGAAATATTACCTCGTGATTTACGTTTTTCATAAGAAAACATCAAAAGCGCCGATTAGATCATGATCGTTATAATGACATTATCATATCTGTTATTACGTTATCGACTAAGAGACTAATACTTATTGTATTAGCCTTTAAATAGTCTATAGATTCGGGGTTAAGTGTGCAGCTATCATACGGTTGTTTTTAGTGCAGCAATTGCCTAGTTTCTCTTTTTACAGTTGCATATTTGAGTAGAAAAGAAAAAATCGAAATGTAACTAAAGTTAATGGCACTGTTGCCATGACATTTATGCCAAAATACACGTGAAATGGTACACAACAAAGCTCTTGTGTTCAGTAGACATAGTTGGGATTTTTTTAAAGACTTGTTAAATACATAAAATTAGTATTTTACACAACAAAATTTAATTCCATACTCGTATTATGATCATGGATATTTTGAGGTAAATAATCAGTATACGATTCAGTCTGTATGATAGTTCTGTCAGGACTTTTTTATTTGGGGGAGGGGGGGGGGGGTCCAGTCGTGCAGGAGCTACTAATGGCCAGATATGCAAAGCATGTTGGGCCGGTGTGTCAAAATGCGCGCAATGCCCCGGAGAGACGCTCCTAGCTCTCCTTGGCCTGAAGACATGATTCATTCACCAGCTCTACTTTTACCACATAAGGCGGCACGAGCGGCCCCCACAGCGGGCGGGACCAAAGGAAAAGTTCCGGGGGGTTGTGATTACTCATGATTGGTTGCTCTGCTCTGTGACTGACAGGTCCCTCTCCCCGACTCTCCTCTAAGCTCGGTTGTTGACACTCTCCAAAACTCCGCAAGGCACCTACGGATAACGGAGACACCATTACAGCTCGCCCCAGGCCCTTCTGTCTCGTCAGCTGCTCCGTGCAAGCACGGAGAAACTACCCTGCCCTTGGCGCGGGATTGCCAGCGTGGATCACCTTTTTTTTTGCGACTTCCTCGGTTTTGAACTTTTCTTGCTCCCGGCCTGCAAGCTCGTGAGCGATCTCCTTCGTCTCCTTCCTCTGTCCCGAGACGCGGAGAAATGGCAGAGAAGCGCAGGTCCCCGTGCGCGCTGAGCGTCAAGGCGCATGCATTCTCAGTAGAAGCGTTGATCGGCGCGGAAAAACGCCGCAGGACGAGCGGGGAGGAGGTCGTGTCCCCCGGCTTCGAGGACGAAACAGATGTGTCTGATGTAACCGAGAGTCCGGGACTACGGGCGGACAGAGGGTGTACCGGCGACCGGGGCAGTGAAGTTGAATGTGGAAGTGGCGGATCCCGTAAGTTATAATAATAATAATAATAATAATAATAATAATAATAATAATA